GAAACTACCCAAGCCTTTTGTACGGCTAGCAAGCCAATAGCTAGCCGCCACGTGTGCCTATATTAAGATCGGCCAATAATGTGGCGGAAATCTTAATACAAATGGTGGGAACTTCCTTGTACCGTGCATCACTATAATGCAAAAGAAATGCACGATGCAAAGAAGGCTACAGAACTGGCGGGAAAAACTCCCGCACGCGGGGTCTTAATTGCAACAGAACGCTCCACCGTGCAAAAGAGCTGCAATTTAGCGGGAACACAATTTAGCGATGACAAAGCACACACAAACAAAAAAACCCACAACTTTGGGTTGTGACGGTGCACAATCTGTCAGACTTTGGGAACTGCTGCTTTAGGGTGAAAAAAACATCTAGATGTCCTGCTTGGGGGAAACTACTTGCATCAAATCGTGCTCGGACGGACCTCCACAGAGGTGTTTCTCACAAGAGCTCCAGGCCAGAATTTGGCTTACAGCTTACTTAGTCTCCTCGGTCACACTTGCATATCTTGGCCACCATAGGCTTTCTGCACTAACCACAGTATGCTGTACTGGGAACAATGGACTGCTGGCATATTTGGAAAATTTAAAGAGAACCAGTTAAGTATGGGTATCTCAAATGGAAAAACAAGAACATCAACCCAGGGCAATTTTGTCTAATACAGTGGTTCTCAACCTCTTTAGATCTGAGGCCCCGCTCAGAAAATGCTAGCTCTTTGCTTTCACTCTTACTACAGAAAAATGTCTTTTGTTTCAAAGAACTTGGAAAGATCATAGCAGGTCAGAATGGTTTTGACACTGTGGATTCCCATTTGAAATCTCTGGGTTTGTCTTGTGAATTTCATATGTGTTTACACATCTAACCATGCACTAGCACATCACCCTGCATCACCCTTAAAAGGATCTTGCAGCATCCCAGACTGCCACATCTCCCTTGTTCAGAATCACTGGTCTAATTAAAGCTGGTCAGAGAGTGAGGTAGTAAGCTCACAAATTTAGGCAAAGCACTTCAGACTTGACAGGGTTGCAAGAGTCAATCTTACTTTGTCATCAAGTTCGGGTATTCATAGCAATTTTAGAGTTCTTATTTTAAAATTTGGTAGCAAACTTTAGTACTGACTTTGAAAACTAAAGAAAACCCTTTTTCTGATCATTGCAAGTGATCTAAATAGAGTTTTCTGCAGTACTTTTGGATGTTGTGTTTCAGCCTCTACCAGAAATGAGTGTAAATTCTAGGCTAATTACTACTCTGTACATATATTAAAAATATTACTTTTAAAGTTCTCCTTCTCATAAACTTCAGATTTTACTTTATATGGTTCTCTGTTCCCTTATCCTAAATTTGAAGTTCTGAATAAAGCTTCAAATCTGGTCTGAAAGGGTGAAATTAGCATCAAGTGCATCTGTCTCAGCATGCAGGGCTTCACACATCTCTTAAGGAATAGGTTTTTGAACATCACTCAGTGGGTGCAAGAAGCTCAGTACTCAAGCAGCAGAACCCTGGCTCGATTGAAATGAAAGGGAGTTTTTTCCAGTAAGTTCAATCAGGCTGGGATGCTACCCAGAGCGTTAGATGAGGGCTCTTGTTGCATAATTTAAGTTCACTTGTCAATACTCTGTAATTATTGTTCCAATTCTCACTTCTTTTACCACTTATCTCTGAAATAAAAAATGTATGAATTTCTCACCCAGCTGAGGGCTTGCTGCTAGCTGCCCTACTGTTGGGGCGGGGGGCTGGGATCTGCCCCTCCCCTGTAGATCTTGCCAGGTTTCCTACCCCAATCAGAGAGCCAGGGCTGGGAGCTCCCTGCTGCTGGGGCAGGGGAACATTGTCCCCACCCCAGCAGCAGGTAGCCCCTCAGGGGTAGGGAACAATGCCCCAGCCCTGGCTAGGTCTCCTGGCCCCCTGCTCCCTGCCAGCCCCTGGGCTAGCACCCAGGGGGAGCTTACAGCTCTATCTGGTAGTGGCAGGGGCCTGTTGCAGGGCCCTAGGAAGTGAGAGCAGCTTGCTGCCATTAGCAGCAAATCTG